ACGAGAGTGACGATTATCAAAACATGAAACGTGAGCATAAAGTTAGTGGGACATTTCATCGCGCCCCTGAGATCATATCGTTAATTGCTATCGAATGGTACTTCAGAACAATATATGCTTGCCGAATGTGTTATATTCAGAAGAATAAGTTGCTTATCATCTGATTTTTCGACGAGTTAGCATGCAGTCTCCGTCTTCGTGCTTCATCTTTCCCACTTTCTAGAACGTTTCTTAATATTGCAGGAGTTTTTAGAAGATATTGCAAATAAATCCGGTTCACCGACTACAATCGAAAACGGTTTCATCCGTGAATACGACTGCTACTTTTGTGAGGTATACATTCAATTGCCATCCTAATTTGCCTGTCTAACTGTATTTACTTTGCTTCGGACATCCATACTAATTATAATGTCAGTGACACCATCATATAATTGAGTATATACGCAGCGTTTATTGAACATCATTTTGGCGTGATATACGAATGAATCAAATGATTCTTCATGATTAATTCAATTACAGAGATTGCATAATATATCTCAACCCAAATGGTTTACACATGATACGGCTGAAAGACTTCGTCGTATTCAACGTTCTGTCCTGGAATATCGGTTGTGGAAATTCGATTTTGATTTGCATTCACAATTGATCATCTAGTTTTATAGCCGATAACTCACAATTGTTAGCAATTTGTTGCTAACCATTTAAGCTGGTTCAATGTGTTTCAATAACTCATAATTCAGATATGGAATCGCGGAATACTTCGGAACTAATCATGAATTGAAACGACTACGATGTGGTGCAGTGTTGAGTGATGTTTTGAGCAAATTGAAAGTGAAATGGGATTGCTTTAATGATTTGAACATTAATAATAACACCAAACCGGCATGCTATTGGTATAATAATCTCAGATTCGATGCATTATCAGCTATATGTCGATTGCTTCGTGTACTTCATTTATTACATAAGGAGAATTAGATTTTTGCACAAATCAAAATAAAATATTATAATGGTGACTATATTCTGACAATGAATAATGGTGGTAATGAAACAATGTAAAATTCAGCACGATATCACGATAAATGCTCTAATGATAGCTCTGAACTGCGAGTCGAACGTACTGGGTAAATTGTCAGAGATTGGTTATGGGGCAAATGTCGCTTTTGAATTGCACCTCATCAATAATCAACCCTATGTGAAGGTACGATCTTATTCATTCATTATTGTTATCATTTATCCCTTATTAAACCTGTGTTTTGCTTTATTATCGTTTGCAATTTGTAACATTTTAAGTTGTATCGCTATCGTTATCATTAGGTTAATCGGAAAACTGTTGTGTTTTTCGTACGTTAATCGGAAACTTTTAAAAGGTTATAACTTCCTTCAAACTCAATCGGAAACTTTTAAAAGGTTATAACTTCCTTCAAACTCAACCTTTTTATTAGAAGTGAGCATTATAACATACCATTATTATGATGTCGTTATCATTAAAAGAGAATGAGATGATAATTTGATAACATTGTTGCAATTGAACAACGACCGTCGATGTGATATTGAGGTATGATTAATTCTCGATTGAAGATATTATACGCGAAAAATTATGCATCTGAACGTCGTGCGATAACGCGGTTGGTACGTGGATGTACGGAAACGGACGAGTATTGTCCCTTATCCAAGTTTATATCTGCGCAGAAAGCGTTCGTACCGACAGACATCCAAAAGGAATGTTCCATTTGAAAACGATTACACCAAATCCTTTGTTCATTTTAAGTCTCAATTTTGTGAAATGTATGTGTTATTTTTTGATATTTTTGCACTTCAGTTTGATCTTTTGCATCGAAATTTAATTCTAACATATAACTTAAAAGATTTGCTGAAATTCTTGTGTGATCAAACG